CAGCATAAAAACCACGAAAAAAACACAATAAAACCTACAAAATCAAACAAGCGAAGTTTATTCAAGGCAATAATGTAAAATTGTCGCTAATTAAAAATAAAAGGGTACAGAAAATACCGTCGTGTCAACTTTTTCTATGAAAAACTTCTGCGCAACATTTCGGCTCACTTTTAGTACTAAATTTAGTAGAAAATAGAAAAAGATCTAATTAATTAATGACTTTTTTTAGTACTAAATTTAGTACTAAATTTGCTGTTTGCAACGTGAATTTTTTTAGTACTTAAAAAATGCATTAATTTAGTTCTAAATTTAGTATCGTGACATACAGCCTTTACGTATATTTCATGTTTAGCGTGAATTCAAGTCATCGGTAGGTATTTAACATTTTTGTTTTTATGTTGGTAAATCGCTAATTTTGTCATTCATCTTCGTATAAATATGATGGAAACAATAAAATCGTATGAATGTTTGTTATCCAGGACCGTAATTTACGAAATTATTATACTTATAGTTTTTAATAGAAAGTAGGTAGTTTGGATAAAAAAATTGGTAATATAAAATAATATTATAATTAATAAAAGACAAGATTTTTAAATAACCTAAGTACCAGCCCTTTTACAATAATTATTAGCTTTCTTGGGGGAAATAACTACACGTGCAGAGGTTATTTATTATTAAATAATAAATGTATTATTATTAAACATTTTTTTAGGTATAAGGAGGTACATTAAAAATATAAGGAAAATGAGGAATTCATTTATTTATGTATTTTGCACTATAGACAACTTTACATTTTTTTTACTGACTTGAAGATTCCTCGTTTTCTTTGCAGTTTCTAATTTGGACCGGTTCTTACAATATTTGAAAATTTGAGTTGTAATTAATAAATCTAACATATACTGTCTGTGTTCCACGAAGTTCTATTACAATTACACCATTCTGCTAAAAATGTTTTTATTTTTTCAATTATAATTTTTCGCAAATTATAAAAAAAAATTTGGTAAAATATTCTTCTTTCTTTTGCGTGACAGTTTGTAGCGATATTCTAGCAAATTGGCCCAATAGTGATGATAGACATTTTAGCCCGGATTGCTCGTTTAGATTATAAGTTTTATATAAAATGAGTGGTGTTCATCATTCAAAACATTTTCTTTTTCTTCGAAATAATTTTGACACTCTAGCATTTAAATTTTTTACGCATTTTTTATTAAGTATCCGGCAAAAGTACATAGTGCAACATTATGAGGCTCTATTAAAAACGTTTAAAGCATTACCAGACCCTAGGAGATTTTGGTCTTCGTCCTGATTCGTTCCCGAATATGCTTTAAGTGGAGGCTTCATGAAATAATGAACGATATTTAGCTTAAAAGCTGCTTTGAAACCCCTAACAGTAGGATTTCGATTATAACTCCCTTTCTGCCTATAGACAAAAAATTGGTTTTCTAATGGATCCTAAATAAGTCTTCCTGTTAATACATATTTAAATTGAGTTTGCGTAATAATATAGGAATAAAACTCTTTAACGGCATTTATGGTAAGAAGAAAACCATCAAATAAATTCGGTCTTGTTAATTTACCTTCGGCAGTTTGTTTAGCTACATTCTTTAAAAGTTCGTATCCTTGTGTAACAGCATTAAAATCACCTCTTTATTATCAATGTAATACGATAGGTTACAAGGTTTCGAACTATATGGGCGATAACTGTGATTTTTTATGTCCATTATTTTATTTATCGTTTAGCATAAGTTTTCCTCATCAAAAAGTTATTAATATTGTAAATTTAGAGGTATTTTACAACTGACTGATTATGAATTAGATCATAAACCTTCGCAATTTTTTTTAAGCTGCACCTAAATATACTCGAAATGTGAGTACCGTGGCATGTCCGATTCTTATTTTTAAAATTAAATATTTAAATTTCTATCAAAATTAATTTTTTAATATAAAATGTACCTCTTATAACTACAATCTAATGCATACTATTGAATTTTATTGCAATTTTATACCAATTTTTCGATCAGTAAAAAAAATAATCATTTATATGTCAGTACCGTGGAAATAATGTCAGTACCGTGGCATTAAACTTTTGAAATTTTGTCGCAGTTTTCGTTGTGTTGCAGCTGTAGTAAAACCAATTCACAGGCTTAGTTTTGTGAATAAATAGAAAATAAAAACGCGTAGAACAAACGTTTTAAAACATTTTTAATGTTAGAAAAATTTAAATTGTAAAAATCGCAGTTACACGAGAATCACCCATATGCAGAAGAATTATTTAAGCCATCAAATAGGTCGTTCATTGTTTCAATAAAATAGGCTGTATTTTCAGCTGTTATGGAAACTAATTCTCCAGTTCTTGTTGCCGTTTTAATGGTTGTAGCTACAGAATTATTAAATAACTGAGTAGCGACCCAGTATATATGTAGCGAGCTTTACGCTCATTTTTTCAAATGCATTTGAGAAAAGGTTTTTTAAACTGATTTTTAATAAAGCTCTTCCAGATTTGCTGCGTTGGTCCAGCTCATAAACCTATTTAACATCAGCAAATCTGATAAATTTGCCATTGAAGATAAAATAATCTTGTACAACTTATTTCGAACGCATTTTACTAGGTCAGGCACACAAAAAATGCCAAGTAATTGTTTTCTACTATGGCAAATTTAGGGTTGTCTACAGTAATGCCCAAAGATCTATAGACGTTTTGGTTAACTGTAGATAAATCACACACTATCCCTATAGGTTCCAAATCTGAGTCTCGAATATGTGTTAAACCTTTAATAATAATAGTTTCGAGGGATTAAGCATCAACACCGTTTTGGGCTAGAAAAAAAGCTACTGGAATTTTTTATTGTCAAAATACACTAAAGCTTGTCCGGCAAAAATTGGCTTTCTTTTGTTGTTCTTGAAGTCTTCAAACCCTCAATGACATTAATTTTTTATTATATTCGATGGTTTTCTTAATTGTCATCTCATCGAACAACAGAATACATTTTTATTCAGTTATTTTAAAAGCAGAAACTCATAACCTTGCAAGAATTTAAGATATTAACAGAGAAGAATTCGCATACCTCATCCTAGTCTGTTTATAAGATCGTTGAAGTGAAGAAGAGAAACCTTGTAATATATATATCTATGATACTACATCATGGCGACATTGTGGTGATCGAAAACAGCTAGCGAAAATAAATTTTAATGAGCTCATGGCCAATCATCCATATTCCACACAATACGTCACGCGCGAACTCATATCATGTAATATATCTCAAAGTTGACAACAACAAATACATGATTACATCATTCAACGGCAGCATCATAAAATGCGGATCAATCAAAGGTGAAGAGTAATAAAACACAACGGTTCTATTTACTCAGTTTGTTCATACTTAGGGTTGCCAGATTTACGAAAGGGAAAAGTGTGGCAACGACAAAAAAGGTCATTGTATTTTTTATAAAAACAGGTCCTTTTTTTCTAAAGTTCTTATCTCTTCAAAAATTAATTATTTATAAATTTAAAAAGTGTGGCATTTGAGTACTTAGGATTGGTACATGGCAGCAAGTGAAAAAGCATGGCGGCTGGCAACCCTAGTCATACTACATAAGATGCATATAACATTAATATATACCAATAACTTAGTTTTCTCAGTTAGGTCTTTATTTTTTGATAGTATATAGCGGTCAGTATACCTAATAATTTTACAAAGCAGAAATTAGTTTAAATGCTTATGTGAATTACAATATTAGGAGAGTAAAAAGTAAAGACAAAGAAAAGCCTCTAGGCATATGCACTGGTAAGTAGTCCTGGACATATGAGCAAGAATACTAGGTAAACCAAAATAATATGTTTGCTACATTGACTACTAATTAGTTTTAATCTTTGAACGATACTATAAAATGCATTTTTAGTGATAATAATATAATAGACTAAAATTGTAACTTGACTAAAAAATTGAGTAACTAGAACTACAAGGACACTTTTACATATAAACTAATTCTAACAAAATGATTAATACATACCTATGAATGTATCCTTTTTTATGAATATAAATTAAAGCAGATAGAAGACCTTTGATAATTAATATGATTGCTGGTTCCAATAAACCTTAAAAACATTTATACCATCACATATTTATATCAATTATAAATCACAAACAAAAGGACTGATTTATTTTTATTAAATAAATTTTGAAAATATTTAATCATATACCTACATAAGGTACTTCAAGGTTTAAAGAATCTGATATTGCAGTAGTACAAATAAATATATGATTAAATATTTTAATTTAACATTATGAAGTTTGATGTTTAGATGAAAAAAAAATTTATACTTTTATTAATTTTAAAAGTGGTATACCCTCATTGAAATGTCTAATCAATAAATCCCTACATGAACCATATGCCATAAGTGGGCTCACCACACAAACCTCAGGTCCTGTTACAAATGCTGTAATATAGGGAATAATATTTGGATGGCTAAGTTGCTTGGTTAAAATGATTTCGCTCTGTAAATAGTATTATTTAGTGCATTATCATGATTATTAAAATTCAGTACCTCAACTAAATTAATGTCTTCTTTAATTCTATCCATATTAAATTTTTTGATAGCCACCATTTCTCCTGAAGGCAAGTGTTTGGCAAGATGAACTACTGCTTTATTGTTGAAACAGTGACCGAGGATAGAAATTGTCTTATAGTCAGATATATTGGCATTATAAGCTGATTTCTGCATTATTCTCGAAATTATTTTTTTCTTTTTTTGATTTGAAGAAAATCAAGAACTATATAACCTCAAAAACGAATACTTAAAACAAATAAAAAAATTAATGTATTAAATACGGACTGTAGTACTTGTATTACTTAAATAAGGGACTTTTTACCACTATTTAATAAAAACCACAAATAAAATCAAGTTTTTTTATCTTTCAAAATTCAAATACTTCAAACTTTTTTTGATTCTTCTCTTTCTAAATTTATAGTTTTCTATCACTGCGCAGCACAGCAGTTCCTAATATTTTCTTGCAAATATGAAATTTTCTCGATGTTGTATTGTTTCACATATCTCCATAAATAACAGCATTCCAGCATTGTACATTGCATAAAAATGTTTCTTTGTCAACATAATCAAACCAGAATGTATCCAATATGTTCTCGCCAATATTTTTCCACCTTGCTCGCCAATAACTGTAAACCTTTATAAAATGAGGTCATGTACATTTGAACTAATTTGATCAAAATATACTGCTTGCCATAAAAAGTGTACTGTGATAAAATGTAAAGTCCGTGCCCACCGCCATTTTGAACCCTTATTACGTGTTGCCTACATCTTGGCGCAATATTTTTAATAGGTGCGTTAAAATCATCCGCTTCTGCTTCGGAATTGTCGGTTTTCTTGTTTTAATCTGACAGGTTAAAACGACTAAACCGACAATTCCGGAAGCAGAAGCGGATGATTAAAACGCACCTGGTATTTTGCTTGCTGCTGTCAGTGTCAGTGAATATTATTTTTGAAGTCACAGTTTATTTCTAAAGAATCAGTTAGCTCACTCGGACCAGTCGAAAGTTCCAAAATAACATCCACTCCAGGGATACAAATTCAGGATACGCAGAAGACTGCTGTTTTATTATAGGCGGTTGTCATATATTTGTATTATCCGAGTTGCACAGTGTATAAACTGAAACATTGAGATCAAAAGTGGCGACGCAGAGTGAGCGATCTGATTCTTTAGCTGTAAACTGTGTCACAGGGTTCAAAATGGCCGCGCCCTATGTTGGGCGTGTCGGACCTCTCTCTTGCCTCGTATAGTAATCAAAGTATGTGGCCAGATAGCATAGAAAAATTAAAAAAAAAAATACGTGTGGCATTTTTTATCAACTTATGCAATTATAATTATTTATTTATTTTATTTATGCAGTATTTTTTTTTCTTTGATATTAATTCAAGTTACACTTTTTGAGCGTGGTGACCGATAAGAAAACATTTTTTTTTCTTTTATTGAATAAATGAGAAGTTAATATTGTTCAAAATATTTTTATTATCTTACAATACATGTAGGTTATTCAGGAATTTTTATCATTGAAACTATAGGTTTATGATAACTGAAATCAGAAACATAAGTTTGAGACTTGATATCCTCTAAATATCTGGAAAATACCGCGTCAATGGTGGTCCCATATTTTGTTGTGGATTATTATTCATTTTCAAATTCAATTTTTCCGAAATTGTGTCTAAAAGAGATAGAATCAGTTATGAGCAGTAAGCAGCTAGTCTACACGCATACGTCTAGTCGCACGTACACAAACACCGTGCCGAACTGAAACGACGTTAGACAATGGCGATGCACGGCTTTCAACGCCGCACCGCTGTGCCGGTCGGAGTGGGGGGTGTAAGGTTCATTTTCGTTACGGAATTTCTTTTTCGATTTTCTTTTATTGAATAAATGAGAAGTTAATATTGTTTAACGCCGCACCGCTGTGCCGGTCGGAGTGGCGGGTGTTAGGTTTTTTTCGTTACGGTGTTACGAAATTTCTTGATTCGGTCGCCGCGCTCAAAGCCCGCGATAAAAGCTATGCAATAGCTTAAAATCACAAAACATATATGACAGCGATAATTTTGTTTGCCCTGTTTCCAGAAAATAACATTCAAATATATTTTTGAGGACATCGTTAAAGGGAAACACTTTCTTCCCCTTAACATGGTACAAAAACATCTATCCATGATTAATATGTAAAAAAAACCATTAAAAATATAAATCATTTTTGAAGATTATTTATTTGCATACTTATTGTTGTCCTGATTCATTTTTACAGGTTGTCATAGAAACAACACAAATACTATGATTATTTAAAAGAATTGTCTGTGTTTATAATTATATTATTGACTATTTCACTAGACCAAATCTCAGCGACTATTTCTCTAGAGAAATACTCAATATTTGGTCTAGAGAAATAGTCGTACCAAATATAACACGATCTTGATTAATATTCTGCTATTTTCGTTGTTCCTAAATTTCTCGAATATTTTTACAATTTGATTCGACATAATTTTGGTATTAAAATAATCAATTGATTAAAGCCCTCGAGCTAAAGCTCTCGGACTATAATCAGATTATTAATGCCAAAAATGTATGTCTCATCAATTTGATATTAAAATATTCTCGAGATTTAGATTCAGCAAAAATAGCTACTATCAAGGTCTTGGTATATATTACCCTTGACTATATGTTCAAATGGTTTATCCAACACCATCCTTCTTCCTTTCACATACACACATGGTTTAAAAGGTAGGTAAAAATAATAATAGCAATTCAGGTTTAGAAGAATTTAAGGGTCACAATAATGAATTAAGATTTCAAATTTCACGGCAAAAAAATTATCACTGTCATGTCATATGTATTTTTTTTTTTAGCTATTTTGCTCAGGATAGTGATCGACACATGTGCCTTTGGTAAAGTACAATTTGTTGTTACATGCCATTGGAGCATATTTCATTTCGTTATCAGATGACGGCCCAAATTTGCAGTGGGCTCTCCTACTATAAGTAACTGTAATCCTTTTAGCACATGGGCTTTGTTTTGTCGGAAGACTAACAAACCATAGATACAATAATCTGAGGTTTTTCATATATGTTTTAAGTCGGGCCGAAAAAAATGTTATAATCTAAGAGTTAGAGTAACTACACTTTTTTCTTACCTACTTTAAATAGAGGTTGGACAGGCTTTTCGCAAATAGATAATAAATTCTGAGTAGCTGTTGAAATTTTTTAGAATTATGATTTGGGATATTATAATACTTGTTTAAATAGATATAAGATTGTCTCATTTAGCCGGTAACAATTTAAAATATTTGATTTTATTTTTATACTACGATAAGGCACTGCCGAACGAACATTATCACGGAATTCTCAAGTCGTCCGACGTTTACCTCCTCTCCACCTATCAAAAGTTTAAGTTACCAATAAGTTAAAACGATCAGAAATCAGTAGCGTGGACAACTTGTCAGGACATGTGTAGAAAGTACATGCGCTGCAAAAAGAAAAGAGACCAAAGACGAATTGTTGCTGGTTAGTGACATGTCTTCTCTCTGATTGCTTGGGTTGCCGACTATTCCAATAAATTATAAAAACCGAATGCCCAAATAATAAATTAAACAATTAAAAACTACAATTTTTACTATGAATGTTTCTGCTATATATCCTAAAAACTATTTTCTATAGGAAATTCAGTATTATATGCAAATCGGATGATAAATCACAGTTGTTTACAAACATCGTTTCAATACTTTTCTTATAAAAAACTAAGTACCTAATTCGGTACCTTAGAGGTAATTAATCCTATCTCCAATCCTATATAGATTTGAAACATAAAAATACTATTTTTTCTAAGGGTACTATATCAAAAGCTAGTAACTACTTATAGAGATACAAAATTTTCTACTACTAAAAAAATGTAATCTTTAGGTATTTTAGTGAATGCACTTCACTTAATACAAAACTGAAGATACGATTATTAACCTCAAAGGTACAGAATTAGGGATGATATTTCAGAATTTTTTTACACAATTCGTTCGCAGTGATCTCTTGTTAGGAATTTGTTACAAACCGCAGTTGCTAACAAACGTTAATGATAATTTACCAGTGACAAGTTATCTACTTGTCAGTGACAGGCTCCGCAAACAAATTTACTGCTAAGTCACCCTCCAAATCCTATAACAAACTATCCAAATTAAAGAAACATTCAATGGTCTGATGTAGAATTTAAACCACTGCAATCTTTGAACACTGTGACAAAACGGGCAACTGAATACCCTTAGATGTTGAGTCGATATTCATAATAATGGATGATAAAGAATAAAATAATCATGTCAAATTTCTCTACAATCACAATTACCCTGCCAAATACTCCCGTCCCATTTCAAAACCAGAAAAACCCAACCCCTGAAGCACACCTATGTAAAAAAGTCTTTTCCTTTGTGACTGCTAGAATATTTTTTTGTTCTCCCGCTGTGGAGACTCAGCCCTCCCTAGAACGTAAGGCACGAGCCGCTACTGGTTTTAAATTAAATTATAATAAAGTCTCGTTATCCAAACTCTCATTTATTTGTAACAAATTCAACATTTTATAATAATTTTATACTTTACAATTTCTTATATAATATTTGATTTAGTTTTTTATTGTAGCATAATTCTAAATCATTATTATACAAAAAGTTGGTCAGATTTATATCAAAAATACCCCTGAGATTTAAAAATTATTTATAACATATAGAATGTAATATGAAATTAGGTACATATAATAAAAAATCACAATTCTTCTCTTCTAGTAGGTGGAGGACACAATTTCGACTGTTTAAAACAGAAGGCTTTTGTCACATCAGATTGTTCCTCTTGATATAGCTTTATGATATCTTCCTCATGCTCTTCCATGATTCCTTCACACTAAAATTCATAATATGGGTGTTAAAGCTCAATGTTTTAATGACTTTTACTGAGAAAAAGAAATAATGTGAGGTTTATGCCAGGATGTTGATCGCATTGGCTGGATGTAAGGGTATTCCATTTAATTTCCTGTCACTGTCTATCTTATAGTTATTTTCGTTTAACTCGTTCCACAAAAGTTAGGGTAAATAATTTAACAAACATCATATTTTTAATGTCAATGAAATATGATTTAATATAGGCAGTTTTAAAATATTTAAAAAATACTAAAAATTGTCACTGAATAGTTGTTGCACATTACAGTTAAATATGAATAGTATGGGGTAAAAAAGGGCCAACCCTCGTGGATCGTGAGTCAAGTGTCGTGTGAAAAGGAGGTAAGAGTGTATGTTGTAAATATTAAATAAACATGTATATTTGTTTTTAACGATTCATTTTACCTATACCTACTTTAGAGCAACTAAGATTGATTTGTGAGTGTGAGAGAGATGGCACTTGTATTTAAATTACTCAAAATTTTCCATGAGTGAGAAGACAGATTCTGCCTGCGAAAATAATAGTAAATATGCTGCAGGTGTGAAAGTATGTTATTTTCTTGGAATTCGAAATTCGTTATGCTGTTTTCTTGTTCTGTCAGGGGTAGAATTCTGGAGTCTTGCATGAAATTTGTCGCACACGGCAAATGTTGCATACCAAATTTGTATGGTTGTTAAAAATACATATTTAGGGGTGCGTTTAAACTTATGACGCCGGGGTTTTAGAAAACTGAAATTTTCAGTGAATGTAGTCTTGAAGTAGGTACCTGATTAAATCCCACTTAGTCAGAATGTGGCACAAATCGCCGTTTCCTCATAAAATAATAATAATAATATTTTAGGGATACTTTTTAACCTATGACGCCGGTGTTTTAGAATACCGCTATTTTTAGAAAAAGTAGTCCTCAAGTAGCAGATTAAATCCCAAATAACCAGAATATGGCAAAACATAAATTTCTCGTAAAAAAATAATACCTATTTAGGGGTGCGTTTAAACCTATGCCGGGGTGTTAGAAAACCCCAGGGGTAGTATTCTCGAATGTCGAATACATTCGCATGCAAGATTAGTGAAATGTTGAATACCAACTAGGTGATTTTAAAAAAGTGTATCCTCGAAAACAGGATACGACAAATAATGTCAAATGAATTCAACACGAGTGGTCTAAAGTGCTCGAATTTAAATTCGGATGCGACTTTATGGACCATAAATATGGATGAGGCAGATTTTGATAAAATTTAACATTTGGTGGCTGTTGAAAATCAAAACATTATTAAAGAGTGACAGCATAGAAGGAAGAAGTTTATCTATAAAAATCCATTTGGAATTAACAATGTGTTATAGTGTTATTTATCAAGCATTTTCGACTTTCTAAGCATGTTATAAGCGTTATAACACATCGTTAATTCCAAATGGATTTTTATAAATAAACTTCTTCCTTCTATGCTGTTACTCTTGAATAATATTTTGATTTTCAACAGCCACCATATGTTAATTTTATCAAAATCTGCCACATCCATATTTACGGTCCATAAAGTCGCATACGAATTTAAATTCGAGCACTTTAGACCACTCGTGTTGAATTCACCTAACATTTGTCGTATCCTGTTTTCGAGGATACACTTTTTTAAAATCACCTAGTTGCTATTTGACATTTCACTAATCTTGCATGCGAATCGAGGTATTCGACATTCAAGACTACAATTTTCATGCGAGACTCGAAAATTCTACCCCAGGGTTGTATTTGATTTGTGTGAAATTTTAAATTCAGTTATGCAATGTACATATTGAATAATAAAATATATTGTTGTTCTTATGTTTATTAAATATTATTTATATGAGGTAGCTCATGAAGAGAGTAACTGAAGTATCTGTTAAAAAATGCTTGTCATTTTAGACTTTTAGAATAATTGTAATTTTTAAGTTCTAACTAATGTTTTTTTTTTATAATTTTGCTTCTATTTTTTTATGTTATTAGTCTCATGTTATGTGTAGGCTTTCTTACTGTTTCCCAGCGCCACTTTAGGAACAACACTGTTAATTAAAACCCAACAGTGAATAGTCGAGTGGGTAATACTACCTATGTATTAAATTAAATAAAAATTCCTGCTACTGACAGGTATTCGAACCTGAGACCCTTCAACCTCAAAGTCATGACTCTAACCACTGAACCAGCCCACCTCCTTGCACTTATATTATTTGCAAATCTGTATATTATTAACAAACAAAGAAAAATGAAAATCAACTAAGAAAATATTTATAAGATTAATAGGTAATCAATAAGAAATTAATCATCCATAAAATTTCTCACTAGATAATTTACTGTTGGATTCTAATTATTATTAGTTGCTGGTAAATAGTAATAAAGCCAAATACGGCAGCCTTTTTTACTTATAAGAAATAGTTCCAACTCAAATAAAATAAAATAGAAATAAATATTAATGCCAGTGTCACATAATACAAGCGATTTCCCTCAGGAAAACAACTACTTCGTTGGCTAATACCTCACATGCATTTAATTATATCCAAAAGAAAAACCCCAGAGATAAAAAATATTAGGATACATCAGCAAGAAATAGACATTCTCAATTCCAGTCTCTAATGGAATTAGAAAATGCATTAAATTCACTCGCCTACATGGATGGAGGTTGCAAGAGGATAAGAAGTGGAATAAGAAAAAATTTTATCACAGTAAAGAATGTAGAAAAAGTAGTAAGAAATATTGAATAATCTGAGAGGAGATATTCAACTCATTAGGTGAGGTTTTGTTGGAGAGCACATATATTGGATTTGTTTGGGTTTCTTTAAAATTTGATGCAAAATTTCCAAGATCCAGTGAAAAAGATGAATATCAAATTATACATTGCTTACTTTTAAACTGTCCACTGGTCAACTAGGTAGTCCTCTCTGATAGTTCTAAACAAATTTTTGTATGTCATGTATTATGTAACTCTAAAAACTGGCCAGGTCAGTCAATCTTCTGTGAAATTCTGGAAGCAATACTTCTGTGTTTGCAAGGAAAGGGCTGGCTTATTAAATTGCCATATTTGTAAAAGTGAAAAGTTTATTACTGCATGAAATATGAAATTCTTGCCAAAAAGACAACTACTTGAGAAATAATAAAGCAAGAACTTACATAATATTTAAGGCTTTTATTTAAATCATCATCCTGAATTATATCGACGTTAGACCAATCTGGATTCATCATGCCATCCTCAGAAACCATACTCAATAAAGTGAGTGTTCCATTTTCTTTCCATTTTGCTCTAATATAGTTATCCATTTTATCACAGATGCCTTCGATCAGTTCAGATAAGGCTAACTCGGATTTAGCTTGAGGAACAGCTTTATGTTTATAATTACCATCAATATCCAACCTGTACCCACCAACATCGACTTTTTTATTGGGATCAAATTTCTTGACTTCATTTGTAATTTCTTGAAGACTTTTTTCACAGACTGCAACATAAAATCACAAATTACAATTGCTAGGTATTTAAAATAAAATGAGAGCTTTTGAAAAATGTTCAAATGGTTTTGTGAATAAAATATGTCTAACCTAAACATCGCAATTCTTTTGAATCAATTTTGTTATCTGCTGCAAAAGTTTGGGCTCGCGTTGCAGAATAACATAAAAATAATACAAATACTCTGAATATATTCATTTTTAGCAGAAAACACTCTTGTTCGCTCTTAACTAATATCACATTTTCAAAATGATAACTTACATTTCAGCTTGACACGTACCTGGCATCTAATTGGTTATAGTGGAAAAATTGAATATTGTATACAGGGATGCCACTTTTTGACTAAAATTAACAAAATCTTCATAGTTGATCATCGTAATAATGAAATAGAACATTTATTTGCACTAATTAACTATTTATAGTATGCTTTTACAATATTTAAATTTGTAAATAAGCCCTCGGGCAGTTGTGAATTTATGTTTCGCGCCTTTTTTTAAAATAATATACAGTACAGTAGCGCACTCACTGAGGATAAGCATGAGTACTATGAACTATTCCATGATTCTACACTTTAGAATAGTTCATTTTATAAGAGGGAAGGAATGCAGTTTGGCCGTTTCTAAAATATTTTTAATATATCTAAAACAGAACCTAAAATTAAAAAAAAGTCTCCAAAACAATTTGATATTTTTTTTCTTTTCTTTCCTAAAGCATAGGGGATGAAAACGTATTTTTAAAAATATTTGTCGCTAGACTTTTCTCTTAAATAAAATGGACTCTTCCAAACAAGCTTTGAGGATTCTGAAACAGGCAGGCAAGCAGCCAGTCGCCAATCGGTCACCGTATCAAGAGGTTGAACATAATGTGTCAGAATTTTCTTTTCATGAATTTAAGTGTAAAGTTGTTCTCTTTTTGTGAAAATTCCGTATTGTTGTTAAAAAGTAGTATTGTGCCTCTTGAAAACAGTTATATTGAAAAATACGACATTAAAGAGGCTTTTCTGAGGTGAGTGACATATTTTCGATTTCTTTATCCATAAGATGCTTTCAAGAATGTGTATCGTTATAAGGACGTTGTAATTCGGTTTTTTCTTTAAAAAAATGTGAGTTTCAAGATTTTATTTATGATAATAATTATAATATTATGTTTCTGTAGATATTCTAAAATTAGTTCAGATATTTCTCAAAGTGGGAGGTGAGGTGTTTAAAATACTTATTATTAATGCCCTGTTTTTAAACAATTGTATTTATTGTTAATACCAAATTTAGAGAGATGTTTGTTGTCGGCGCTGTTGGGAACACTTGACCTGGCAACCGCGGAAAGCGTGTTATAAAAGATTAGTAAGCAACATGATTTTTTGTGTGCCAATTCCTTTACAAAATTCACATTTCTCGTAATAAAACTATATCTCAACAACATTTCAGTTTTCTGCAAGAGTTCATTTAATAAAAAAAAACTTGTGACCATATTATTGTGATACTTATGAAACATTCTCGTAACATTTTGTATTTGTTTACTGACAAAGGTTTTGCAAGCGATTCTCGCCTTTACGAGCCATTTGTTTAGAGCGACCGCTGGCAATAGCGCTTTGTGTGCGTCCGGTTCCCTTCCCTTCTGCTCTCCTATCGATTCTTGGTTCGTCCAATGGAGAGCTCGATTCTTGGCTCGCGGGAGCGAACTTTTCTTACGACGTTGCCATTTTATGCTAATTACTCACACATATTTATTAAGAATAATAGCTTTATCCCGTCCCTGTAACATCGGCAACTCTGTGACAATATTGGAGGGCAAACGACGTTGCCAAATGAAAACTCACATTCTCGCAACGCATACGTAAATTTATACTCTACAATCACGATTGTGCGACGTAGAATAGCAGTAGGATGATTCTTTACTTGTGCATTTTTAATTTCTTTGCGTTGTCCAACAGATGCTGTTATCGAATGTGGAAAATATATCATTTAACTGGTACATAAAATGTAAGTCTGCTTTTCAGGACAATGCGTTAATTCATAGTTACTATTATAAAACACCTGATTTATCAGATAGATTTCAGTAATCTCTAGTACGCACCTACTTAAATAAAGTTCATGAGATATTTCAGAAGGGGAATACGGCGGGAAATTGTAGATATTAATTCATATTTTAAATATTACCCAAATAGTTAAGATCACTAATTTTTGAACTCAAGGTCAAACGGGAAAGTTAACTGTTGCTAATTGAATACATAAAATGTAGTCTCGTCTTGGACTTTCTTCATCGGTATCGCAGCATACTTTCATGTTATTTCAGTGCAACGCCTCAAACTGTACAGATGATCCTGAAATTGCAGATTGCAGTATTGTCAAATTGCGCAACCGGGGTAATATTAGGGTTAACGTAGCCAATGGAACGGGGCTTGGGATGCGCGCGCTCTTTTCTCACAAATGTGTTTTATTTATTTTTATTACATAATGCGTAATGACATTTACTAGTCTAATTATTAGGATGGATGTTTGATTAAACATGTTAAAATTACGTTATGTTCATTTAAATGTTCTATAATTAAGCTCACCTTAATACAAACGTAGTTCATGTCCGAAAACACACCTTAATACAAAATAATAAACTTCAGCAAGGTTAGTCACACAAGGTTTTTTTCGAGTAATTTTGTTTTGAACTGAATTTGTAAGACGAATCCAGTGATCATATCGCTAAAAACGCTACCGGTTTTGTTTATGCTTGAAACAAATAAGTGGGCGTGACTTTACCAATCAGCTGAACTCCGCCAGTCCAACATGGCAGTTGTCGGCTTCATTTGAACGTTTGTGTCAAGCTCTCCGCGCTCTTTAAAAAGCATTGTCGTGTTATAGGTATTACTCAATATGGTGTTTTCGTACGAGTTTTGGAGTATTTATGTGTTTTTCTCGAGCATGGTAAATTACTTACATAATTTTTATTCATGGTTTGCATAATTTAAAAGTAACATTTTTGTACCTAGATATTTTTGTGATGGTTACTGTCAGTTTTGGCTGAATAAAGTATTGTCATTTTGTCTTTTAAAGTGAAATATTAATATAATAATTATTTTTTAATAGCTATTCAATAAATAAAAAGATACGGATTCAATTTTAATTAGGTAGGTACCTACCTTTCCAAACACATGGATTGTTTAAATTTCAAGATTTGTTTGTAAATATTTTTGAAAATATGCTCTTAAAAAGTATTGCCAACATAATTTTCTCAAACTATTCTTTAATTAGTTTAAAATTACCCATATGGGAGAAACAAAAATTCAAATTTGAATAGTTAAGACCTTGGAATCAACCTAGGGTACGTAAATGCATATTAGACCTTTATCGTTTTTATTTTCAACAATAGGTACTTAAGTTATTTAACTACAAAACATTACTACCTTACTAATGCAATAGTTAATATTTATTTTGTTTAATTGTTTAAAAAAATAGTGTCCAAATCTTCTAAATACCTATTGGGTACCTATTTTTTTTCTATTAATGTTTTAATTGTATATTCCTTACGAAAAATTAAAAGTTTCAAATGGTTACGTAGGCATAGATTTATCAGAGAGCACAAAAATCAGTACTTAGATGTATTTATTATTTATTTATTATTTGAACATGAATTAAAATAAAATCAGTGCTGGGATGTATTTATGAATTATAAACGAGGAAGCCTATTTATTGGTAAATTGTTGAATAAAAGATTAGGTTTAAAAAATACAAAAAAAAAATTGTAATTATGGTAGTTTTGGACAATTGTAACATTTATTGGAATGTATATTTCAATGAAACAAATGGCGCCAAATGATTTGTTAAGGGTGAAATCTGTTTAGCTTGTTCACTATTGATGCTTAATTTTAAAGGAGCTAATTACGTATATTTGACCATTTTCCTATTTATCTTTATGTAAAAAAATAGCCTAATCCCCTCCAATGACTCACTGACAGTGCACTAGTTTTATACTAATCAATTAAAACATGTATGGAAATCTTTCACATTACTATCTTTTACTATAACAATCAGACTTCAGTTTTTTCATCCTTCTAACCCCCTTTCTATCATCCTATATATTCCGTCTACAGTACCCTTAAGGGGGATCCCAGTGGGTGGCAACCTTCTAGGCTTATTGTGCCACCATTTGAGGATCCTACTGCCTTACCCATTTATATGTCTAATAAACAAGCACTGGTATAATATTCCAAAAAACTGAACAGTATTGTTCATTACCTACTTGTTTTCTTGCATAGGTATGTGTGCTTTATAGAATTATAAACTTTCTCACAGATATTTGTTTTATTTATTTATTTAAACGAACATATGGGTACTCTTTTACAATGTATTGTTCAGATTCAGACTTATATGTTCATCTTTCCAAGGAATATTTGTTTTATGGCAATCATCAAATAAGTTCCTAAGGCACTCATTATTTGTTTAGTACTCCATATTATGGAAAATACATTTTTAAATAATAACACAATTGTAATTCATTAAAAGCTGCAATTACAATGTAAAAACTTAAAAAGGTTGTTTACTCTGCACTGGATACACACATTTCAATTTCATACAAGTTTTGACTTTGCGCCTCTGCCGGTTCACTATGGATGAATGATGAATCATCCATTCAATTCATCAAAAGTAGTGGATTTACTTTATCTCCGGGTCACTTTGAATGAAAATACAGATGAAAACCATCCTTATTTTCACTGTTGTTGAATCCGCAATCTACAGCCAAAGTGTAAAAGTATAAATTCGCCTTTAGCCATAATTATTTTAAAATCGGTTTAATGTATAACATAATAACGTAAGATTTAATTATTTGGATGTAATAATATAAAAATTTAATTAGAAAATGCAATAATTCAAATTTTTTATGTATGTTTTATATAGAATAGAAATTAACATGTAGATATGCCGTTTTATGTGTATACAAAATCAAATAGTTTATTGTTTTGATTTAACCACATAATTTTCACGTTCATGGGGTAAATAAATGCTTCATAAATTTGTTGACCCTTTCAAAAGTTACTGTGCAAAATTCGACGTAAATATTAATTTGGTATGTTTTAATAAAGCATTGAAATAACTATTCAGTAAAATGTTTGATATAAAATTGATGAGCTTAGTTTTAATTTTTTAATTAAACCTCGACTATCAGGTAATTTAATAAATTATAAGAATATCTCGTTGGTTTTGTCTTATTCAAACACTCTCTTCGCTGTTTACACTTATTAAGGTAGTTTTCACTCGTAAAACGGTTTTTTTTAAGAGTTCAATAAAATTGAAATATAAGGTTAATGAAAGTGTCTTTTACGTACCTAACTAAAAAAAAAAAAATTGATATTTTTTAAAAAGTAAGGTAATGTAAATCAAGAAGTTATAAAATTTTCTAAAAAACGCTGAATTTTTTTACCGTCTTGGTAAAAAGTTACAGATTTTTAAAAATAAAAATATTTTTAAATCAATCGACACGTAGTTGCGTACAATGATTACAACTTGGCAACATGGTAATCGCTTCACTTAACGCGCGGTACTTGAATTACACTTGATCAGCTACGAAGTTGTTACAACCCGCGACGTGATCTTAAAAAATTAATTCGTCCGCTGTATTTGAGAACTGGAATTAATGGATCTGTTTGAACCAAAAAATTAGGATGAGGAAGTCACAATTTTCTATAGCCCACCATTCATATATTTGCGACGTTGTCGGATGGATTTTACTTGAAATTATAATGTATCCATATACAGTATGTCCCTCTAGGTTGGAATCATATGGAAACCTTTTTTATTATTAATTTTAGGAAAAAAAGTTATTCTTCATAAAAAGTTCTGCATTATCTAAAACCTAGAATACAGTCATCAAATATCAAATTTTTTCAGTGGTATGTGAGGTTTGTCAAAAAATATGAGTTTTACTCAAGAGTAAAGTACCTTTATTCCTTATACGACTGATAAAATTTGATATCTGATGGTTGTGTTTTAGGTTTTAGACCATGCTCGACTTTTTATAAAGAATAACTTTTTTCCCAATATTGAATGGTTCTAATTAACAGTGCTGTTCCTAAAGTGGCGCTGGGAAACAGTAACAAAGCCTACACAGAACACGATGCTAATGGCCGTAGTAGTCGACGCCGATGACACCAAATAAAAAAAAAAAAAAGAAAAAAAAGAAAAAAAAGATTTTCATATGCCGCCAAATTACGTAGACAGTTGGTGGCATAGGAAAGCTTTTTTATTACTAATTTTAAGAAAAAAAGTTGTTCTTTATAAAAAGTCGAGCATGGTCTAAAACCTAAAATACAACCATCAAATATCAAATTTTATCAGTCGTATAAAGAATAAAGGTACTTTACACTGAAAAAAAAAATGATATTCGATGACTTTAGGTTTTAGATAATGCAGAACTTTTTATGAAGAATAACTTTTTCCTAAAATTAATAATAAAAAAGTTTTCCATATGATTCCAACCTAGGGAGACATACTGTATATATAGGCTTACATGATTTGTGCACGGTCTCTTACAAAAGCAACATTTTTTAGTATTGAAAATTTCTCGAACTTTTGGTATTCACCATTAGGCGATATTTTTAAGTACGTTTGTCGCGAGTGAACTACCTTAAGCGTACTTTTTTTATCAATAATTTGTTGATACAAGGTACCTGTTATTTCGTTTTCTTTGGCGGGAGCATAAATAACCACAAGAAGATGAAAGAACAACAAATTCTATATTGATTTGAGTACTGAAACAATACTATCGTAATGGTGTATAATTTCTTATTTATATAAAATTATAAATAATAAAATCGATTATACATGGTGTTTCAGGTATGCAATCATTAATTTTTAGGTCATTTTATTAAAAAAAAAAAAATATGAAATAGTTTAAATAAGTATGGGTTAGAAGATTCCGGGTAACATACGGCACTGTCAGTGAGCTTTTAGCATTTAGCAAATAATATGAATGTTTTGAGAATATCATCTTA